ACATATATATATACATATATATACATATATATATACATATATATACATATATATATACATATATATACATCTATATATATATATCGCTCGCCAACTTGAGGGCCTAATATTTATTAGGCTAACGAGCGTTGTCTTTGTGTATTATGACTCATAGTTAGCTTGTGAGCATTTGTATAAATATTATCTAATGCTTATTATCATTTTATTATGTAATGTGTTCTTTGCACCACTTTTTAAAAAGGTCGGTGTTGTCTTTGAGAGGCTTTCTTTTCTCATATTTTTTCTCTACCGGTTTGTTAATTCTTGAGCGCTATTTTATTTTTTTTTTGATATCTGATAAATCAAGTTCTTAATTCTACATAAATTTGTATAAAAACATAAAAAGATTAGCTCAAAAGTTGCATTTATTAAAAATATTTGACTTAAAAATTGATAAAAATTAAATTATTTTAGTTGTATTCTAAATTTATTTTAGCTATTAAGTAAATAGATAAATAATTTAATATAAAATATATTAATTTAAAAGATATTTTTTGATAAATATAAAAAATTTTCCAAATCATCCTTTTGTATATTTAATGTATGTTTGATGTTAGTAGCTATAATGTTGGCAATGACAAATCATCACTCTCATATTATTATTTGCCTTCACATTCAATATTCATATTAGATTATGATAAGATCAAAAGTTAAACCTTGAATTAGTTTGGGTCAAATTTCTAGCATGTATGATTACCTTTTACTAAGCTAATACTTTAATATATTGGAACACAATTTGAAAAAAAAAAATTTAATGGACAAATGCCTATTTAGTATTGAAATGTATTAATTATATATATATATATATATATATATGTATGTATGTATGTTTGTATGTAATTTTTCCTAAATAAAATTAGTGTGTGCGCGCAATTAATATATGGATTTGAGGGTGAAATCATCCCACGGGGATAAGTGAATTCAAGAACACTAGACTAAACAAAACATAATTTGATTTAAAGTAGTTGAAAGTTTGAAAAGCTTCTTTTACAATTAGTAAGATTTCAAATGCAAGATCCCCTTCATATGGATTTATAATTTAGAAAACAAACGCAACAAATTAGATTAAATGATGTAAGTTGTCAATTAAGAATATTAGTTATTTAATACCTCTATCAATAGCAATAAAAACTCAATTTCAAAATCCAAAGTCATATATGTTTATGTTCATAGACAATTAAAAAAAGGAACATGCACATTTCCCTATTGATTGTGAAGTTTCACGACAAATATGTCTATTTTCTTAAATCTACATTGTAAATTCTCTTTTGCAAATAAGGATTATATTGATATCTCAGATTCATAAAACTTTTGAAGCAATGGGATGACCACTACTAATTGCTAAATAATAATGAAATTTCATAAATGTCTCTTCAAAAGTTTTCAATTCTTAAACTTAATTCTACATTGATTTGTTAAACTTAGAGTTCCATAGGAAGATAAACATTTAGCCTAACATGAGAGTAAAGTGAAATCACAAAGACTTCTTCAGTGCAATTAAAAAAAAAAAATCAGAATAAAAATGTTCAAACAAAGAGATAAGAGATAGAAAAGATAAAATCACGTGAATTGACAAATTCTCTAAGATCTCCATTGAATAGTAGCCTTGCTTCACCAAAATAATGAGAACTCTCACTTGAACTCTCTTACAATGGCCTTCTCACACTAAGAACTCATGCTAGGAGGCACTCACTATATGAAAATTCTTGCGAAATAAAATTTCTAGCTCTCCCAAACATTCCTTATACAGAAAAGCCTTTGAGAATTACTCCCCCTCCAAGCAATTGAATTTCACCTTCAATAAACATGTTGTCGAGGTCGCCAAGCTGTGGTGCAACAATTATGGCATTGCAACACTGACTCTAGGCTCTGACACTCAAATCTGGCCCTACGAGAATTTGGTGGAGGGGTTGCGACTCTGGGTTCTTTATGAGGTGGCTTTTCTTCTTTATCTTTTGATCTTTGAGGTTTGTCGTCAACAGCGGTTCAATTTGGATTTAGTGACACTGTGGAGCTGGAACTAGCGCATCCACTGGACTTGCTATGGCTTGTCATGGCGATGTGGCGCTGACTTTGGGTGCTAGAACTAGCACTAGTTACCTAACACCTAAGCAAGCTCTCGGGAGAAAATTTCACTTGGGACTTTGGCCTTAACACCATCGCACTTGATCTTTGCATTGTGACGCTCAAAAAACTTCTCCAAATTTTATTATTATTAATTTTAGGAGCAAATCTGGACGTAAAGTACACAATCATGCAAAAACAGTAGAAAATTACTAAATAAAAGCACTTATTTTTTTGTTATTTTTCCCAAGTTTTTCTTACTCAATAAAACTCACAAACTCAAACATTATTTGCCCCCTAGTAATCTATTTATCTAAATCTTATAACTCAGCGCAATGAGTAGCAATTAGATTAAAGATTATTGACAAAATAAAGCATCTACTGAGTATAAAAATTAAAGTTCATATCAACCTTCAAAAGTCATTTAGACTAATAATATCATAATTTTCTTACATAATTTCAATATTATTCCATTTCAAGTTACCTAAGTATTTATAGTGCTAAACTGACTAAAAATTTACTTAATTAATAAGAAGCAAAAACTTTAACTAATTAATAATATAAGCACACTTTAAATTTTCTCAAATTAAATATAATAATCCAAACAACCAATTTTAAATATAAGCACACTTACTCTTAAACCCTTCTATATAGTTTCTATTTTAAGCACTAACAGCTTCTAACCCTTTTTTTCTTATTTTTCACTTAGTAATCATGATCAACTTTAACTATAACTTATTATTTTTTTTTTTATAATTTCGGGACGAAAAATAACTTTACAAAATAGCTGACGCCTCTATCTTAGGGCTGTCAATTTGACTCATTGTTGGTGAACAGTTTATGTTCGGCTCATTAAGCAGCTCGTTATAGGTAATTATAGTCTACACAATCGAACTTTTAGTGTATCAATTATGATGTGAGCTTTGTGCATATAAACAAAATTTGCGTATTAAAATATGGGCATTTACATACATATTACTTACTTCTTATATGGTTACATTTCTAAAAACAAAATATTAATTTTTACAATTTCACAAACTCAAATCTTTCATATGAATCAAAAATACCACGACTTTAACTTTTCATTCATAGAAAAGATAATGTGTATGTAAAAATTAAAGTTTAGATGTTACAAAAGGTAAATACATAAAAATTGAGTGGCATGCATGTAAATCTTCCCTTTAAGTATAGTGCAATGAAAATCTAAGTTTTATACACGATAATATATGATAAATACATATAATTGTACA